CATCAAAAACTACTTCACGACAAAACGATGACCAGTCTACAGTAAATCTTTTCGATATGCGCATTTCTTTTTCAATTACGCTGAGTTCGCTGTTATGCACCCACAAATGTACAAAACCACAAATTTGAAACACGCTCAAATGAGATCTTGCAAAAAACGTTCCTTTTCTCACCGACGCACTAAAAATAAAACTACATTAAGATACTTCCAACAACGGATAATAGCTTTCGTACCCATAATTACACTTCGACGGTTTCTTTTTTGGTTTCGGGATCATTTGGGAACACTTCCATTTAAAACCATCAATACTCGACTTATCTTTATACAAACCTAATTCATGTCCATTTGGACATAAATACTCACCTTCTTTAGGCAGAGCCCTCCACTCTTGAAGTTTCTTTATCAAGTCCTTACCATCATTTTCTGTGCTCAATTTATATACATCCATGAGATTGATCTCGTTTTGAGCCATCTTAAACTACTACTGTTCTTTATTAATCACTTAAATACAATAAGATATCTAAAAGAAATAAGATGTCATAAATACACTAAGATGCCTATGAGATTTACGAAGCTGTATTCACACCAAAGTGTGCTTGGGTATTTTTTGGATTTATCTATTGGCCGTATTCTATTATAAATAGGACTTGACAATGCATCTAATTCTACTTTTTCGCTCTCTAATAACCAAAGAGGTCATTTCTCCATTTATTATTTGCTAAACGCTTGACCAATGAATATGATCAAACATTAATCTCTTAATAAATATAAATTCATATCATTTTCGCAACCATACGAAGTTTGTATTCAAAATCAATACGATATTCATAATCTACGTACAAAGCCGAATCGAATGATGTGATTTTCTGAAAAAACGTTTTTTCGTCACGTAAGGGAAGTTAGCAGCAGATTTCTATATTTTCGCCTAACATTTTTTATTAAAGCTGTGCCATCTTTGGAAATAAGTGTGCCAGATAGAACTCGATGAGCTCTATCGAATGGCACAATCGGTTTTTCAGAATATTGTTTATTTCGCTTTTAAAATGACAAATACTCATTTCCTGAACGAGACTACGGCTCAAAATTTTGTGTTTTCGCCTAACGTTTTCTATTAAAGCTGTGCCATCTTTGGAAATAAGTGTGCCAGATAGAACTCGATGAGCTCTCACAATCGGTTTTTCAGAATATTGTTTATTTTGCTTTTAAAATGACATATACTGATTTAGTAGCGTGTTTCGAATGTAGCTTCTGTTGTGCTGCAGAAAATGTATAACTCTGTTTATTGTTAAAGTAAATGTTTTTTATCATGAATAGCAAAAATACTTTTTTTGGATAAAGTATTCTTGCCTAGCAGCTTGTAATGCGTTAAGTATTATCATTTATTGTCTATTATTTGTGTTTTTTGCAATAGTTGTTGGTAAAAGTAATCCAACAGGGGATTAGCTGCTGGAAATGGTTCTGGAACGGGTTTGTCGTGCGGGCTTGTATTTGCCAAATTAATTTCAATGTTTTGTTGTGGCTTTTGTTTAGAATTGCATGGTTTACATTTCACCAAATAGATAATAGTAATAGTTAAAATAATAATGAAGGCGGCTATGATAGTACCACTGATTATGAATGTTCTGGATGATGAGGACATTTGATTCCAGTTATTTCTTATTTGAATATCGATATTGGGAGATGGTGTCTGTGTAATCAAGCCAATGATATCATCAATGTCCGAATCAATAAATTTTAAATTGGATAAGTATGTATCATTGATCGTCTTCTGAATAGTAAACACATCAATATCTGGACGAGATAATGTATTATTTGATATTATAATCAAGCTGGTATTGCTACTACTAACTGGTATACCATATAAATTAAACTGACCATCAGCACAAGCATAAAATGAATTTGGTGGAACATGAACTAATGATACAGGTGGTATGAACTTTTTCACATTTCGCGCTGATAATTCACCAATTTCATCAGAACTGGGCATAACAGGAACAAGAACACACTCAAGAGTTCTGTTACTAGACACTGCCCAATATCCGCCATTTAACTGAAGAGTGTAGTGATCGGCATCTTCCACATGTTCATACCTGCATGATGATAGTTTAGTATTGGTGGATAATACCTGTATTAAACATCGATTATTAAAATATCTCCCATATGCCGGTGTATTTTTACATTTAATATAACTGTCAAATGTGCAGTATGAAGTATCTGTTGAATACCATTCAATGGTGTCATTTGTTAGTGGATTTTGGCCGATATATGACGGCATGTTAGCAATTTTTACAAAATGATGGTGATGATAGAATGGAATGTGATGTAACTGATAAACATTAAATTTATCCTGTTTTTGATTTGGAAGACCAATAACGTTGGTGAAAATCAGTCGGCCAATCTCTTCAGCATTCTGTGAACGATACATCGTTGTTGGCATAAAATATATTTTTTGATATAAAATAAGTTGTGTAAGAGCAATAAGTGGTGATTGATCTTCTAAAATACTATCTAATGAATCATTTGTTTCTTGCATGATTTGTTGAATAACAGCAGGAACATCACTTGGTCTAATGAATACTAAATTGGGTCTATTACTTAATATTTCATTGATTGATAAATACAGCAGAGTTTGTGCCATTTCCTGCTTAAATGTCGAATAATCACCACTTAATTCACCAACCGAAGCATTTAATCGAGCCACATCTGCTTTGGTTTCTCGAACTACACGGATACTATCATTCAATGCAACCTGGGTATTTTTTAATTCTAAGGCTAATTCCACTGTACCATTCTTTACAAAAGCCAATGTTGCTGTATTGATGTCTACCTAAAGAGAAGAACGAAGGAAACCGTGGCGTATAGTTATTTGAATGCTGAATACTCTGCTGGCCAATAGTGTGCCAGTAGTGTGGATCACTAAAATTCATCAATCTACACAACGAAGACACCTGCCGTTGTTTCTCTTTCTTTCACTCCACTTTTCCATAAAAGTCCTGAACAAAGAAAATAATCAAAAAGAACCTTTTCTATACCTGCTTTTGATAACTTGTTAATGAGAGTTCATAAGAGGCCATTCTCTTCTCAATTTGTTTTATTTTAATAACATTACGACCAGCTATTGCAGCAGCACCAGTTGCAATACCGAGATTTACGAAATCAAAGAATAGTCGTCTATATCTCGAGCGTGGATAAAGATAAGCACAAGCCTGAATTTTACGGCCAGCCTTGATAGGAATTAATGGGCAATATGCTGCTGTCATGGGAATAATGATGGAGAAATTGGCAATATGGTCATTCGGAACATATTGTCCAACATATTGGATAAACGTCGGAGTCTGTGGTTGATGAATGATACTGGAATCAGGCAGTAATAATATTCCACCATTGTATACAAGTAATGTAGTGATTAAAACCAGTATCAAAGGAATACTAACACTCAGTGACATTTTGCGAATAATAATAATTTATTGTAATAAATTTCTCCTCGACTAACACAGAAAAGTGTTTCCGTTCCGTAATCCAGAAACAAATGTAGAAGAAATTAGGTGAGAATCATAACTCTTGACGGCAAAATAGAAAAAATTAATCGAAACATTTTTTCTTAGGTCTTATTGGTGCTGTAACAGTTTAAGAAAAAGATTCAAAAATACGTTCAAAGAAAGACCACCCATTCTCATTATTAACATCAAAGTCGGAGGTACAAAAATGAAAGACTTGCCTGTTATACTCAATGTTGGCCCCGATACGTAAGAACAATACTTGCGTGTGCATCTCCTTACTCTACCATGTACTTCCACTATCCTTTTAGCTATAAAATATTTGCCTGTACATGCGGCAGAGATTATCATTTTACTGCCACAATCAAAGTAGCCGACCAGTATTACAAGTACAATGA